CCCCCCCCCCCCCCCCCAAACTCTGTGTCCTGAACCCCCAGCTCTAAAACCTCAGCTTTTGGTACAGCTCTATAATGCATGCTTCAATTCTGACTTTGGCTGCTATTTGCCTTTCGTTTTTTTCTTAGTCACCAACACTGGAATTACAAAGTCTCTGTGGAATTTTGCCACCATACTGCAACGCACATGAACACAAAGGTTTTGCCCCAGACCTGACTGACATCAAGTTCAACCTTGAATCTACTTTTTTACAGCCAAAAAAAAAAAGCCTTCTGTGTAATGCCACTCAAACACCAAGCTCCTTATCACCTTATTTCTTATGCACTCTGATTTGCTTGAGCTATACAAATGCTTTGCCCTACTCTGGGTTACTATATCAACCGTATTATCTTAAGACACTGTAGGACTTCCTGTTGACTTGAACGTGACTGGAAGCAGCTTCCCTGCTGCTCACTTCTAAAAAGGCTTCAGGTTTTTGAGCTAGGTCACGCTACACAACAGTTTTCCTTTAATTGTCTCAGAAGGCAAAACGAGCAGCCAAGGTCAGCTACGGTTATTGGAAAAGTCTCAGCGCCTGCATCACTATATTAAATAATATTTCTTCAAAGTGTTCAAAGACCACCAACCCCCCTTTTGATAGCCTATGTTTTGAGGTTTGATGTAAAGGTGACAGCTGACCATGAAGCCTCTCATTCTACTATTCTCATTCTCACTACAAAGTACATATTTAGCAGGTAGTGGCAACCTTAGAAGCAGTTTCTTTTGTATTACAGGTTAGAGAAGAATGGGTAATGTCTGAGCAGTTTCGTACATTTCCCTGAATTCTGGAACATCTAGAGTTGTGATGCACACAAATTGAAGGCCAGAATAACTTGTCATCAGAAACTCAAAGTAATGCTCACTTTCCAGATCAACTACTTTATCACTACCACCATTAGCATTCTAATACAGCCTTGATTAAACATTGGGCAATTGCAAACCTTTCATTTCAGTCTCCACTTCTGGAAAGGGTGGAAGAATTCAAATTCATTCTTTTCAAGTTTTTATATACATTCTACATTAATTTCAAGAAGCAATAAGTAACTGTTTATTTAAATTGTTTTTCAAAGTTGTTTACAGTTAGGTACACATTAAGTCTGCAGTTAAGAATATAGGTTGTGTGTTGCCTAGCGTGCATGAAGTTAGACAGGTGAAAAATCAAATTCAAGAAAAGATACCGGTTTGTGGAGAGCGTCATAGGATAGGATATCAGTTCCTATGCAACTACTAGACGTTTGGAATAGAGCAAAGTTAGCTGCAATTTTCATACATGGTGGGTCAAGAGTATAGTGTTTTGGTTCATGCTTTAAGTAGCTGGCTGACCGTACTAGAAGCAGGAAGTAACTGATCTGTTAGTACCACTCTTCTCAAAGCACTTTTTGGATTTGGATTTGCACCAACCATGCACATGATTGTGAATTTCATTCTGTGCAAGAACCACGTTATAATTTTAACTACAGTCTGGATCCACAAAGGTAGGGCCATGCATGCCTCTGGATCCACAGGAGTTTCTCCCACCAAAACAACTGAAGCTTGAGCAGACACAGACTATAGCTTTTATCTGGCAATAGTTTTTAGTTCTGCTGCTTATTTGCTCACTTCCACCTTGCCGAATTTACAGAGAGGAGAGCAACTGGGCATATTAAGATAATTCCAATATTGCGAGAGTAAATTTTAATTCTAAGGAATAGCACCTCTTCATATTAATGTTATAATTAGGTTAGGGCCTCAATAATGATCCCTGTGAGCAAGAACCAGCCCACAGGCTGGTAGAGCCTTCTGGTATAAAAGTTTCATTTGTAACCCACAAAACAGCATCACAAAGCATTTCCTAACAGATATTAATATTTGGAATGTCTCTTTCTGAATGATTAGCGCTCAGATTATACCTAAGTGGCGCTTTTATTAGACCATATGCTTCTTTGCACCTTCCCAGTCTGTTGTGCCTAGGTAATTGGAATATGTGGATTGAAGGAAAGTGCCCAAAATGCAAATATGGCAACCGGTCAATTTAAGAGCCTCTTTCTGGATTTTTTGTTTATTGTAACTACTGTGGAAAAAACAAAAAACAAATA